AGCGCTCACTGGTTGTGCTTGGGTTCTACACATTTAATACAAACTTGCAACTAATGACAAACTTAAATACATTAGTCACCTTTAAAGTTGATTTTGCTCAATCAAGGAATACGAGATCTTATTCCGTCGACCAGGTTCACAGGAGATTTGTTTTAACGCTACATTTTGCGACGACACGTGGAAAGTCGAAACACTGTATAACTGTGACGAAGTGGTTTCAGTAAATACAAGAAAAAAGCTTCCTTTAGTGGAAAAAATGGACAAAATGATTCGTTTGGTCAAAGAAAGTTAGCTTTTGATAAAACCTGTGACATGAAAAAAAGTCAAAAAATGGTTAGTGGATACTTACAAGTTAGAAAGAAAAATTGCCGCAGTCGTCGCGAGCGAGGTCCTATCAAATGTGCATTCACTCGCTCATCGAAACCAAAATGAAACACAGCGCGTTTACTTACATAAATTGAAATAAGCTTAATCAAAATTCTGTCATAACTTTCAAATTTCGCACGTCTTCTGCAATGGAAATTCGGCGAATTTTACATAAAAGCTTGGGTTTCGAATAATTGGCCTGTGGGTTTAAAAATTCAGACCTCGAAGCTCGACGACGGGTGATTACAAAATAAAAATGCGCAAGGTATTTGGAAAAAAAATCAGACAACAAACAAGTCGCTGAGGCGTTCGGTGATTATCAAAAGATTCTTTTACTCTTAACAAATCCTTGGATTAAGCAATAAAGAGCAACCTCTCCTTGGAGTAAACAAAATCACCAACAAAAGCAGAGGCAAAACGCAGTGAACAATGCTACGGGAGAATCTGTTGACGAGGTGGTTTTTGTTCATTTTTTAGACCTTAAAATCTACGTAACAGGGCATTTAAAGTCATTTCAACAAACGACCAAGCTACTTAGAGGGCTTTTGTTCCAACCTCGCGCTCCTTGTATTTAATTGAATCTTTTTTCCGCGTCCAAAGAAGAAAACAAATGTTAATAGCACTTTGTTTTCATATAGCTAGTCATACGTTGAACACCTTGCATGCTTCTTTCGTCGGCCGGAAAACCTCCAATTTAGCTTGGGAAGAAAGTCTTGCCGAGATCGACCTTAATGCTAAGTATAAATACTATTTCGCATCGCATCGTGATGTTTCATTCCATGTTTAATTACAATTTTTTGTCTACTAAATAACAGCGACGTAAGTCGACTAACACCCGAAGCGCGCCAATGAAAGCAGAGATATTTTAAATCGTATCCGAGCATAAGCTCAACAGCTTAATTTTGCGTAACCTACATTAAATTTGAGAGCAGTGTTCCACGCTATTTACTCAGCTCAAACAACAAAAATACACTTTAAAAGCCATTGTCTATCAAGGTATGGTTCGCTGGAGACGCAAACATTATTGGCACTCCTTGGCACGAGAAGAAAACAGCATCATGTTGCGGTAGCCAAATTATTTTTCCGCGCAGATGTTCTGATCTGAGGCAATCGTTGATCGGCCAGCTTTCGTCCAAAGGATCGATTCGCCTTATACAGCGGTTATTTTAATTTCACGCGGAAGGGAAACTAGAATTTCGCATAGCGAAACCACCTACTGCTGTTTCTTAGGACAAATTATAAGACACTATTAAAAAAAATAAAGAAAACAACTCTATTTAATTCTGACGAGCATCAACACAGGCAATGAAAAGTTCTTTTATACCCAGTACAGCCGGAGAAACTGCCTTTCCTTAAGACACAGTGGGAAGCGTAATTTTGCTTCGTTCAAACAAAGTAGGGAACCATTAAAAATCTCTCTCGAGAAAGCATTTTGAAAAGCGACTTTGCAGGAAATCTATTGTCTTGCGACATAAAAGCTTCTTCCTAAATGCCTTCGGGGCAAGCGAAATTGCCATAAACAAAGCCGAAAGTCGCTTTCCCAAATATCGTTCACCGTTTAGGTCTTATGACTTCAGGAAATTAACTTATTAATTCTCGGGAAATTCTCTGTTTTTGTGAACTTCTACAGTTTTCTCTTTCGATATGTAAAAACAATAAAGTGAACTCTGGCAAGACTCATCTCGATAACCACGAACGAATGCAAAATTGGCACAAGGTCGCGAAACGCACACAGCCCACCGGACAAATTAATTTTACACGAATATAAATAATCGCAAAAAAATGGGCTTCCGCCGATATAGAAGACTAACATGGATCACGAATAAGAAAAGGCTATTTGCTTACTTAATCAGGCCTTTCTATAAGGACTGCATTTTTAATTTCGGAAGGACTTTCTAGTGCAAAGTAATTAACAGCAGTGACATGCGCGATACAAGAAACGACCGAGCAGACATTTTGAACTGCACTTCAAGTCCAGTTAAAACCGAAATAGAGATAATTTAAATGATTTGTTTCACCCCATTTCTGATCCTAACGAGTACAAAGCTACACTGCGAGGTTAATAAAATTTCTCAATTCTATCGATGTAAAACAAAGATAAAAAAAATGAGATGTTTCCCCAGGGGCGAACGACGAACATCTCAATTATTCCGATCAACAATACAGCTTTAGAAAAGAACTTGTTCGCAATAAATACATATGGGACTTTAAGAACGCTTCGGAGCTCACGTATCTCTCATGTTTACTCGTAATGCGTTTTAAAACACTTTGCGTCGACGCTCAGCAGAAAATTTTAATCGCTTTTGAGTAGACTTTGATCAACATGTGTGGCTTCGCTGCTTACACGTGTGTATACTCATCACGCCCAGCCTTTAAAGCTATCGAGCTGTCAACACGATCTAGAACAAATAGCTTGGAGTGCAATTTTCTAAATGCCTTAGTTTCCCTGACATCTTATTTCCTCGGCGGTCAATATTTCGCCCGAATACAGCCACAATAACTTAAGATTAGGAAAAAAATAAAGAGAGAACTCACTAACTGCTATCAAATCATCGGCTGAATGTCTGTTATATTGGAGGCTTTCAATGCCATTTGACCAATTGATTACTACTTCTGTGAAAAGAAGAATGTTTTACCTCCATAAACTGCATATTGGCATCGCCCAATTCTCGAAATACAACTTCCGTAGGCAAGAATGCGCGAAAAGCTACGACGTGAGGCAAATTCGTTCGTTCATCCCCTCGACTTGAATTAGCTCAAGAGTCATGATACATCGCATTCATAAATATGTTAACGCAGTAAAATATTCATCTTATTAACATAATACAGAAGCAGCGCAAAAGAAAGATTGTGCATCTCCTCGTTCAACGTAGCATACACTTAAACAGCAATCTCGAGACCCTTTACTTTGCTCAAAACTGAAATGGCGGCAACTCAGAGGTGGCCGCCCGTTTTTCTCAGGAGCACTTCACGATGGCGCCATAAGGCGTACGCCATTTGGCATTTCAAAAGTTATTTTAGTATTTGTCAGTGTTGAACAACGTCGAGATGAATTTTTATTTTGTCTACCAAGAAATTCTACTAGATAAACAGGGAAGAAAGTATTTTTCGCGAGTTGTCCTCGTCAAACTGTGTAAGAACGAGGAGATTCGGCCTTGTTTGCCGAGCTAATTAGTTGTCCTACAGCGCATTCTTTGCCCCGTCTTCCGTTGATAAGACAAGCTTTTTACAGAGAAATAGAGATAAAGAAGATCAGAGAGTGTGTGCTTTAAGTACTGAGAAATAAAGAGAACAAATTCATCTTAAACGAGAAATTTTTATTCACAACACATACAACATCCCCGATGGAAAACACTCAGTTGCCCATATTTGTCAGGCTAACAACATGCGAGCTCGTTAACTGAAAGTCACTTTCCAAAGTCCGACAAAAACGCGTTGATTTTGACTGCCTATAACTCATGAATATATTCCTCAATTATGGAAAACAGTTCCAGATTACAATTGCTTTTAACGTACTGCGAGAGCTGATGCAACATACTTCAAATGTCAGATATTGTTTGAACTAACATAAACAACAAACTATTGCTGAGTTGTGACTCGGGAGAGTACAACTTCGAAGATTTGAGTCGCAAAAAAATTGTAATTTGAGAGGAAGGTTAAAAAAATACGTCTCGGGATAAATGTGTATGAAGAGGAAAACGAAAATTCTGAATATTTTAGAAAAGACTTCCGTATTTTTAGCCTGTTATATTTGTAACAATTCAATGTTTTTTACATGTGGCGGGCATAATTCCATCGAGAAGGTTCAAAGGAAAAACTGCCATAAAGACAAATCGCGTACAGATATGTTTTTCCTATCTAAACTTGTAAAACTTGTAAAATTAATAAGCATGGTTTGTTTTTATCGAGAACATTTAAATGTGGTGTGCTTACGGAGAGTGGAAACTTATTCAAAGCGATTCGCCCGACAGGTTCCCGAATCGACATTACAAAACATGTCCGTCGCGACGAAACATGTTGAACACGGCAGAACCAAACATTATACGAACATTGACAAGAATAAAACGCTCGACGGAAATGAATTGTAGACACCTTGCTCCTCAGTTCGAAATCAAGTCCATTCTTAGCCTGAATAATACAAGTCTGATCCGCATATACTGAATTCTGTTTCGATTTCAGACGAAAGCAGCAAGTCGTGTTTAAAATTTACGGCTGACTAGGGCGGTGACACGAACCATTCTGAACCAAGCTTTTTCATTGCGCTGTCGCCAAGTTCGCCTCAAAAGCAAGAAACCGTTCACGAGCGAGCATATTCCTGTCTTTACAAATTCAAGAAACATAGTGCATTTAATGTATGGGAGAATTTAAATAAGAAATTGTTTCGATTTGCATACATCAGCAGAGTCATGAATGAACTTCTTTGCTATGCATCTACAGCTCACTTTACCTCGCTGGTGAATTCCGTCGAAACAAATTGCGCTCAAACGAGAATGAAAAGAAAAGAAAGTACTCAATAAACGATTGAAAAGAAAAGCCCATGAAATACTGATCCTGACAATTAAAAGAACAGCGAAAAATATGCGCAAAAAACGTTGAATAACTAAAGCCTAAAAAGCAAACCAGCACAAAGCATGTTAAACTGAAAAGGTTTTAATAACTTATCTGAGGGTACAGTATGATGGCTGGAAAAGCATGCATGTTTAACATAGAAAAGTACGATAAATATATTGTTCACATTGCCAGAAAACAACTCTAAATAAAGATTTTTTAGCCCAGAATACGAGCATATAGGTTTCTTGGTGAGTAGACAAATTATACGCGTCCATCGAGAGTATTTACACATGATCCTTCGAACAAAAACCCCTAACTTGGGCCTTTTAGCAATGTTAAACACAGCGCAACGTTCGTGATAAAAGAAACTGCTAGTCCTAGATACTTTTTCCCTGGAATTCCTCTAAACTTAATGCAAAATACTCTAGCTTTCAAAGTAAGTATTTACATACAATCATGCCCATAATATTAGAATACCTTTTTGCATATCCTTAGAAAGGCGGCCGACTTGAAATCGAAATTCTCTCCGAGCGCTTACGCTAGCTGAAATTAGACTATTTCACATTCAGCTTCCCTTTCGAGACGGCGTACAAAAATGTCAGAGTTAATCGACTTAACACGCCTGTCTGTAAGTTTAGTTCCTTGTTCATTCGCGCAATAGAAAAATACATTTTGGCGACTATATATTTACGAAGAGTGACAGAACACACACGAAGTCTTACTGCGGCCCTGCGATGTGCGCACCAACAATATGCGGAGAAGAGACATGACCAGACGATACGTGAGGCGAAGAAACATGAGGAGACCCGACGTGTTGATCTTCGGCTCCGCCAGTAACTGAAGCAGTCATTCGCTTTTCCTTTTGACGCCTGTTGCAGAACCACACTCGAACCACCTCCTTATCGAGTCCGAGGTTTTCAGCGAGCGTGCCGATCTCTTGCGCAGACGGTTTGGGATTTTTACAGAAGTGATTCTCCAGAGCACCCTTAACAGCCACCTCGATGGAGGTTCTCTTCTTACGTTTCCGACCCTGAGTAGCCAGCTTGTCGATGCCACTCGCAGCACCGTTGTTGTTATCCGCCTCCTCGAGCCATTTGCCTAACAGGGGCTTGAGTTTACACATATTCTTAAAACTCAGCTGCAGAGCCTCGAAACGGCAAATGGTGGTTTGACTGAAAACATTTCCGTACAGTGTACCCAGCGCTAGCCCGACATCCGCCTGAGTAAAACCAAGCTTGATTCTACGCTGTTTGAATTCTTTCGCAAATTGTTCCAAGTCATCAGACGTAGGAGTGTCGTCCTGTGTTTCTAGTTCGGGGTGAGATCCGTGCGGCGCGTCTTGGCCGTTCGGATTTTCGCGAATTGTTTGCGGCGCTTGCGGGAAAGCTCCTTGAAGTTGGACCGTTCCGTTTATCGTGCCGTACGATGGATGAGTCGTTGGAACTGCTTGCATCGCGCTGCTGATATGGATACGCGTGTGGTCAGGCGAGTGTGCCCCATGCGACGCAGTACTGGGCCAACGTGCTTGCTCTAAAGGCATTACAGGGTGGCCACCAGGTCGATGATGGACGAGCGTTGCTCCAGCAATTGTTGTTATAACAGGCGAAGCATCCTCTCTTAAGATTGGTTTAACTTCTTGTAAACTCACTGTGTTCGCTGGCCAACCAACGGCTCCAGTATGGTCTTGTACAACCCACTGGTGTGTTGCGAGGTGATTATTCCCAACTCGCTGGTCGTTCAGCGAAGCTACGCTCGCAGCCGGAGCAAGATTCTCGTACTTTACAACTGTGTGTTCATCTCGTACGTAGGCCATGGTGGTCGGATGATTTTGAATAACGCGAGTTTCACTCTGCGTGGAGGCCGAGCCGACCTGATTTGAGTAAGGGTTGGTTTGCGCTTCCATTGTAACAAGCTTGGTTTAACTTGCGTTCAGCTAAAACTCGGCTTTTTTGCCGCCAGCCTCATGAACGTGTCCAAAGATCTGTTGATATTCTGAGAGCTTATTGGACAGCGCTGTGGTGAGTGACATTCTATTATTGCTTAATTAATCATGATTCATAACCGCGCGCCCTGCCATTGGTTCACTGCGCACGGGCGATTCGGTCGTCAATAGCTACAATGCGGCGTGAAGAATATGCTAATTGTTATCTAGACGTTATTTTTCATTGGATCGCCGCTCAATCCGCTCTTTTGTTCGCCTCGAAACCTCATTACCACAATTGCAAATGAGTTGAAAGCGTTTACAAAATATAATCACGCTGGGACAATGAAATGTGCCTGCGTGTGTTCTAATATTAGAGGCTTTTGTTCCGATGTAGTTGTGGAGGGCGGGAGAGCCGGAGGGGTGTCATCAATTCGTCGACAGATTGATATCCAAAGTGCCAAAGATCTTTCAGCTTTTGTTTTTTATTCCGCTGCTGACAGCTTAATTTCAAGAGGGTTTAACAATCAAGTCGACTTTCGAGAGGCGAGGATGTCTCTTAGCCCTATGCGAAACAGGCAGCTTAGAATTCTAACACTTCCGTAACGTGTTGGCGCTATCATCACCTTAGGTTGCGGTTGGTTTTATTTAACCGTAAATGCCTTTTTCGCCTCGATCGCGTCAGAGGCCGTTTAGCGAGCGACGAGAAAGCTAATATTATCGCCAGCTGTTTTTCAGGGGCAGGAAATTCGCTGCTAAAGCCATCCCAAATTTTCGACAGCGCGCACCTTTTACTTGTGTGCGCAACGAAAAAAGGCACCTTGCTCGAGACAGCTCATGAAAAATTCACGTATTTTCGAGCACGAAGAAATATTGGCACAACGGATGAAAGAGAGCGTGCGTGGGATGGGAATGAATTTTGCGGCTTCCACGCACGCGTACTGTAAGCTTACCCCTATCGCAACCTTTATCTCACCCTCTTGAAAATGAACAAAAAATTATTCTTGTGAAATGCTATTGAGACATCACTCTGTAGTGCGGATGGATTTCAAAGATTTCCTGAGTGATAGCCATCGCCGCAAGAACCGATGTTTGCCTGATCGCATCTTTCTTGGTTATTTAGATATTTCACAGGCGGCTCTTTTCGAGTGACAAATGCTCTCAAGAGAACCAATTGCTTTTCCTTAACATCCTTGATGGATACTAAAATAGTCCAAGGGAATATCACGTTTTAATTTAAGCTTGACGTCACAACACTAGCGAAACTTACTATGCATGGCAGAGAAAAAAACAACTCCTTGAACAAGAAATATCGCCAGCGTGACTGGCGCGAGACTTAAGCATCATTGTGCACTTACACACAAGGAAAACAAAGTTATCTTTCAAATCGAAAATTGAGTGAACTCGTCTTTTGATGACAAAATTCGACAAGAGAACTGTTGGGGATCTGAGAATCGGAAATGTCTCTGAGACCACCTGTAATTAGAATTGTCCACAACTGCGCGAATGCGTCAAGTTGAGTTCCGTTCGCACGTGACAAAATTCCTTTAGCGCGCGCGTTGCCTCGCAAGAAAATTCTCCTGATTCACCGAGGTTTTGTTTACAACGATGCAAAGAAAGATTCATAATTTCAATTAAAGTGTTTATACTCGTGAAAGAAAAGTCTCTCTAAAGCCATAAATGATACCCCGAAGACAAAGAAACTTCGTTTTAAACCTTTCAAATTGTTGGCGGCACGTTGCATAAATGAATATTCCGTTGTTCACAGTTTCGACGCCTCGAAGCAATACAAAGTCAAAATTCCCTGATAGAAAAGAACAAGTTTCGTTGCACTTTCGAAGAAAAGATTGGCAAAAGTCGAGGGCGCGAAATGGAAAGTTATGTCGGACATTAAAAAGCTACAGTTACAAATGTTATCGGACAAATTAAGACTTAACTACCACAACGCCCTTGTGAAAACAAAGACGGTGAATAAACTTGCTACTGAATTTCACTATGAATCGTTTGATTTCATGACTGCAAGCATCGCCAAGCCTACGAAAATTGCAAACAGTAAGCGAAAACACTCGGTTAAGCCTTCCTAGGACAAAATATCCTTGTCGAAACTCTAAATGCGCCCGCTTTTCGAAACAGAAGGCACAACATTCAACTAACATTTTAGCTAACAAACCAATACAAAACACGCGTACTTACTGCGCCAAATCTCGCCCAAGATTCTCGCTTTCATCGAAAGCCCTTCATTGTCTGAGTTCAAACCCTAAAGCCACACTCCAAAAGCAAAATCTCGATGGAGTTTAACCTCACCGGTAAACTTTCCCACACGCTTAAACGCCAGCACAAACAATAGCGACCCAAGCGGGTTTCACGGTCATACATAACAAGAAGGAAGCGAAATATTTTGCAATTCACATTCGAAAAGAAATTAGCATCTATACATATACATGGTTGTACGTAAATACTTGAGTAGTGTTTAAGTTTATATTTGTTCGGTCGATCAGCAGCTCACCGAATGCGACTAAACAGAGGTCGAGAACTGAGCACAAAAAAACTTGCCCGAGGAAAATATGCACAACGAAGGTACCTCCAACCAGCGACATGTTGAATTCTACAACAAGATGATTTAAGACAGAGTTTTAGGGAAACACTCAATATCGACATGTTTTGCAATTGTCTTATTAATTCGCGGCCTCAATTTATGACTTTACATTCACTTGTTAATGGCGTTCACGAGAGATATGGGGTAGTTTGTTTCGTTGCAAGATTATATGCAGGAGAACTGAAACAAAAAGGAAAACTAATTTTACTGAATGACTATTTCACTGACCTGAATAAGGAATTGAAAATTTTCAATCTGGTGCTTAACTGAAATTCTTTGGACTTAATCCGTTATGCAAGATAGAAACTTTAGCACCGTAAAACCTAAAATTGCAGTCTTTAGCGGGCAAAAATGGAAACTGATTGCAAAGACAATCTTTTATATCAAAGAATGCTCCTGCATCCGCCATTGTAACTTACAAGTTGTTTGAAAAAAAAAAAAAAAAAAAAAAAAAAAAGAAAAAAGAAAAGAAATGTTTCAAAATTGTTGTACCGCTATCTGGACTCACGATTAAAAAAAAATAAAAAAATTCGAAGAGCAAATTTTTTTCTTTGGAATACTTTTATTGTGCGGATATGAAAGGGACTTACGAAAGGTTCAGCTAAGATAAAAACAAAAATCTTGTAGTTAGGAGCCCTTTTGTTTCCAAGGATATTTTCATTTATTCCATCTTATTTTCATTCTAATCGAGAGGATTTTTTTTTTCAATATTCGGACTTCACAATCATTTTGCGCTAATTCTAGCTCATCTTAAATCTTATGGAAAATTATGCGTTTAATAGTTCTCATTTTCGAAGTTTTTTTTCCTTATCGTCCTTAGTAATAAAATGCATTTTTAGATAAGAACAAAAAGACAGAGCGCAGACAAATTAACTGAACTCAATTGAGGACAAACCTTGAATAGTAAGGAGAGCAGAAGTCTTTAATTTTCTAGAACAGATAGAGTCAAAAAACATTTTTTTTAAAAATAGAATAAATACCCCGAAACTTGCTGGACACATACTGCGCGCGAGCTGTAATACTTGGAAACTTTGTTGAACCCCATCTGGAGTAAGACGGTAAACATAAATGGGCAAAATTCATATCTATCGGATTTAATGAATTTCTATCGGCTCCAAAGCTTGTCGCAAATCACCCTGAAACTGCCGCCAATCGCTCGACTTGAGACAAGAAGACGTCAACCACGACATCCAAATTGCTGCAAATGAAATTTAATTTGCACGCGAACAGAAAAAAAAATTCATTCTCAAAAGAGGCCCTCATTCGCTATCAACGGGACTTGCACAGAATGACAATCAGTGGGAAAACACCTTCTGTTGATTTGCAAAGCGGCGAGAAAAATATTCCAGGCTTCAAGGCCTATGAAATAACATACGCGAAAGATACAACACCCTGAATTACGGACCTTTTCTTTCAGAACACGTGCAAGTGTCAATTTCGAATCGTGCGCCCGCGCCTAATAACGAAAGATCATAGATTAAGAATATTCGATTGATAGCCTCGCGCGATCATGCCAGTTCATCACCGGCACGTGTACCGTTTAAGGTTTCGATCTCGAGGGCTAAAAGCGTTCTGTCTTTTTTATCCTGAAAAAAACTAAACTGCATCCGTGACACGACAAAACTATCACTGCTTTCAGCGCGCGGTATCCATTGATTTGTCAAGATGGAAGGGGGAATGTGAGCTTCGCTGAACAGAACTTGTCACTTGCTACACAGGTGGCCACGGGTAGTTAGTTGTTTGGCAAACAAAACAAAATTGAACGACAGGGGGAACACAGGAACTACATCCAAGTGCAAACAGGAATCACTGAAAAATGTGCGTTTTATTGACAGGCCCTCGCTAAAGATGCGTAATAGATCTTTGATTGCACCCGGGTAATGTTTCGCGTTTGATGCTTCCATTTAACATACATATTTCATTACACTAATGTGGGCATTAAACAGTTTGCGGCAGCCAAAAATTAATTGAAGGCTGCATGTGTAAAGTGGAGTAAATTGTAATTCAAACTACAAACCCGATCTACATTTTCGTGCAAGCAGCCATTAAGAAAAACCATCGGCAGATACAAATTTAAACGCACTATCATTAACTTAAGCTGTATTTGCTCGCTCGCTTCTGTAAACAAAGGACGCCGAGAAAAATTAATGTTTGAGCGCTGAAATTAGTAGAAATGATCCTATGCAAATAAGGAAGCCTTTATTGTATAGAATTCCACGCCCTGATATGAAGGGAGAGCACAATGAAAAGTGAAATTTAATCCACGATTTTTACTGCTGTAACCACAAACTGAATGATATGGCATGGGTCTGTAAGGAACTTTCAGGAAACGATATCAGAGGAAAAGCGTGTTATTTACTTTATCTCGAATGATTTAGTTTTATTAGCATTAATTAGCTAACCTAAAAACCTGCTTTTTTTTAACTACAGAGACAAAATTGACGCCAAATGGAGCGTATTGC